TAAACTTTGGATTTCTCCACTAAAGTCTTGATGACTATTTCTAAAACGAATCTTGCACCTTACAACTGGCTTATCTAGATATTTTGCTTAATTGAGGAGTGACATATTTTACCCTAATTTATTCATTTTAGTAAAGGCTATGGCCTGAGAAACTCAAGACCATTTTGTACAATTGTGACTAGAATAAATGGGGCAAAATTTCTAGCATGCATAATATGCTCTTAATCAGCATTAGTTGAATGAATAAAAATAAGAAAAGAAAAATAGTGGCTTTAGACTGGACTAGGGCAGCACATTTGCATACACACACATAGTTTTTTAGGAGTGAACCAGAATTACCTAAGATGTAAAGCTGAGTTCTAAATAGGGATGCTCCAGGTGATATTTAATTATTAAGATAACATTTAAAAAACCACCCTGAATCTGTACTGGAGCACCTCTCCCCATCTTTGTAGTGAATTGCAGATACTTGACCAATCCCATATATAGATTGCCAAACCTTTGAGGACAGAAATCTTATCTTACATCATCTTTGACATTCTCATAACAACTAATTCAGAGCAGTGGATCTAATACACACTTGAATACTGGTTGACATGTACCATATAGGGTTTTAGAAAACCAGAAACTAAAAATAAAATCCAGGATCGTAGTATATTAATATAGTTTATAGCAATTACTATTGTGCATTTTGTGTGTGTATGTGTGTGTGTTTTTATGAGGCATTCGACTCTTCAAAGCATTTTCATCACTTATGTTCTTCCTCAAGCCCTCATGGGTTGGGAAGAAACAACTGGTATCCTCTGATGTTCTGTGCACACATGGCTGCCTTGTCACACTACCAAACCATTGAATTGAGTTTATGCAAGCAATTGATCAGCTGTTTTTAGAATCAGAAAGGCAGAATATGGTAGTAGGTTAGGTTGCAATAATCTGTGTTGGCCATTTTGCAACTAATTGTATTGATTTGGATTAAAACAACCAGTAACTTTTATTGAGCACCTTTTTTTGTGTGTGCCAGATGGTATTCCTGCAAACTCTTTGTAGAGAGGTGTTTTTATTATCCCCATTTTTTAGATGAGGAAAATTATGTGACTTAAGGAATGAAATGATGGTTTGAACCCAGCTAATGTGGTTCCTGAGGCTCCTCTATTTAGCAATGTAGCATAAAGGTAGATGCTACTTTTTTATTTCATAGAAGTAAAGGAAATGGTCAATCCTCGAATGACAACTCAAAGAAAGTCACCTACAGATCTCCCTTATTAGAATAATAATAAAAAAATCCTGGATTTTCTAGACCTGCCAAGACATTGGAGTAACTTAGACAGAAATTATAAAATTGTATTATTTGCTTTACAAGATCCTGGCAAGTAAATCCAACCAAAAAAAAAAAGAAAGGAAAAAAAAAAAGAATAAGCAGGAATCATTTGCTTTTCCCTGTCTTCAGAACCTGTGCCCTTCAAGTTCAAGAAAAACCCAGCAAATATAAGAAACACCTAACAAGTTCAAGAAACACCTAAAAGGTAACATGTTCTGCAAAATTAAGTAGTGTGCAAAACTGAGTGTGGCCAGTCCTCTGGAATTGTCTGAAACTCTTCAGTGACAAGCAAAGAAAATTTTTCTCTAGCCTGCTAATGCCCCATCTCTAGTGTCTTTTAGCCAATTTGTGTCTTAGAGCTAAATGGAATATCCTTAAAGAAATTGGGCTCCTCTATTGTGATACTTCCAATTATTAGTAACAGTCAAGTGGGATCCTTTCTGAAGTCTGTAGGACAATTGTATGCGAGTGTGTGTGTGTGTGTGTGTGTGTGTGTGTGTGTGAGAGAGAGAGAGAGAGAGAGAGAGAGAGAGAGAGAGAGAGAGAGAGAGAGAGAGAAAGAGAGAGAGAGATGAAATGTCATTGAAAGTCCTTGAGAATGTATTGGCATTAGCAAGGCTTTTAAAATCCAATCACTAATTCAGTATGATTAATTCTCTTAAAGTACTTGTAGTGTTTCCTGAGCAGCAGTGGAGGTCACTTCAAACAAAGTAAACCACAGTTAATGTGCTGACGTTTTAAAAAGACAAGTGCTAAAAATGTCCATACAATTTCCATTACTTACTACAGTCATTAGAAACAAGAAATATGTTTATCGAACTAAAGCGGCTCAAACAATATTTTCTTTATTCAAACCCATGTAGCTGGAGAAAAATTCAAGAGTTTGCCTTGTGACAGAGAGCGATCACCCAGTTCCTATTACAGGAAAGCAAGCCTTGCCTCTAATCACTATTGATTGAGTTGTTGGCCCTTGAGACTCTAAATAGGTTTTGAATTAAGCAACATCAGCATAATCTGGATATTCACTAGAAATGCAGAATCTCAGGTCCCATCCCAGATCTAACTGAATCAGAAGGTGCATTTTAACAAGATGTTTTGTAATTTATATATGCATTTTAGTGTTTGAGAAGCACTAGTCTAGGCCAACATGAATTGTTATTTAAACATCAGACAGAAAAGAGCTAGTTGAGAAAAGGAGAAAATGCTACCTGATAAAAGCACCTTACTCAAAGATCTATTGGTGTTGATAAGCTTGCTCTTATCCACTAATCCAGCCTTGAAATAAAAACTTAATAGGCCCCATGGCCACGGGGCCAACATATGAGCACAAAAGCTGGGTATAGGTTTGTTAAGTGATACCCAAAATGCCGACTAGAGGCAGACTTCAAAGGGCAAACCTTAGTCTAATTATCACAGAAATGATTTAAAAGCATTTTTATGGTTAAGGTTACCAGCCACACAGGGCTTGCCAAGGTGGTACAAAACTGAAAGGCCTAAAATGTTTTTTGTCTTAGAGGTACAGAGTGTAGGGGAATCCAACCAGAGCAAACAGTGAGTTTCTGCTGGCCTAGGGAAGATGTGATGTCTAAAGATTGATGTGAAACATCTGGGCCAGGGTTGGCAGCCACTGTGCAAAATTGTGTGGGGGAAAAGGCTGTGTGAAAATGTTCACACCCACAGCATATTTGGCAAAATTTCCTTTCTTTTTTGTATGTTTGATACAAATTTCATTTCTCTTCTGGAATAATTTGACTCAAATGTCCTGTAAGAGGAAAATTATGTGTTTTTTTTTCCCCCCACTTTACCATGTGTGCTCCCCATGAACATTTAATTGCTTATTCTGAGGCTTTATCTGGAATTGACTCAAAAAGCTTTATCCCACAGAATGAAGTTGCACAGGCACTGGCGGAGGCTGAGAAATCATGAGCTAAAATTAGACAAAGGGCCCATATCTCTAACCCATCAAAGGACCATATAGGTTTACCAGTTAGAAAATATTCACATGAGACCTTGTTTGCCTCTGGCTAACTCAGCCAAAATCTTTGTTTAGTAAATTCATTAAAAAGCAAAGCATTTATATATATATTTTTTACTTTAATTTTTTTCATGAGAGAGAAAGTGTGTGCATTTTAAAACCAAGAAAAAAATTTTTTCCCTTCCCTAAAGCAAACCCACATTTTGTTCTTTGGAAAATACTGACCACTCACTCAAAAATGCCTGATTATAATGACACTTTGTCTTCACAGGCCATCTTAGAACAATGGTTTAAATAAAATGAATTATTAATCAATAGTATTTTTATGCTTAAACTGGTATCTAGTTTTTTAAAAATATGTTTTTTATTGATTTTAGAAAGACAGAGGAATGGAGAGGGAGAGATAGAAACATCCATGTAGAGAGAAACATTAACATGGATTGGCTGCCTCCTGCTGGGGATTGAGCCCACAAACCAGGCATACACCCTGATCAGGAATCGAACAGGTGATCTCTTAGTACATGGGCAGATGCTCAACCACTGAGCCACACCAGCTGGGCTGATATCTAGTTTTGCTGGGTTGGTGGAGATGGGCTTGAGAAACACAAACAGACCTAAGTTTCATTCTATTAAGGAACAATATTGTGCCCCAAAGACACAAACAAAAACTGCCTCAAAGCAATTCATCGGAATCTCCCTGGAACCTTTGCAGTGCAAAGGTAGTTTTTATTACTGTCCATTTACCTGCTGGAATGCCCTTTGCATTTGAAGAGCAAAGAGATGACAATGTTTCTGTGTTTTCAAAACTATGAAAGAAAGGTTCATAAGTAATTTGTAACCTCTTTTACAGCATTTGGAGGCTGCTAGTTGCACAGTCAGTTAACAATTCACAAGATGTGGTAGGTAGCCTCCAAGATAATCTCCAGAGATCCCCTGGTATTGTGTAATATTTTTCCCTGGAGTGAGTGGGAGCTGGATATAGTAGTGACTTGAGTTTTTTTCTTTCCTTATTGATTAAGGTATTACATATGTGTCCTTAACCTCCCATTGCCCCCCCCCTCATGCCCTTACCCCCCTGATGTCTGTGTCCATTGGTTATGCTTATATGCATGCATATAAGTTGTTTTGTTGATCTCTCCCCCTTAAGAATAGAATAAGGTACAGTGATGGTGACTTTAGACTTGATCCTAAAAGACAATGTTCTCTTTTTTTCTCTCTCTCCTTCTCCCTCTCTCTCTCTTTCTCACAGACACACACATATCCTCCTCCTCCTCATCAACTCTGAGGCAAGCCAGCTGCCACATGTGGGCAGCTCAATGGAGAGGCCTACACAAGAAACTAACGGCCCTGGTTAATAGCCTTGTGAGTATTCTTAGAAAGGGTTCCTATAGCCCTGTAACTATCAGACATCTGTAGTCAGGCTGACAACTTGATTGTAACATTGTGAGACACCTTGAGCCAGAAACACCCAGCCAAGCAGTTCATTGATTCTTCATTCATAGAAACTGTGAGATAATAAATGTTCATTGTTTAAAGATTTTAAGTTTTGGAGTAATTTGCTACACAGCAATGGATAACTAACACACAGGGGTATTATGCTTCTCCTAGTATATGCCCCCATTTATTTAGTAGATATTTATTGAGAAACTACCACATGCCAGGCACTGTCTATGATGTTAATCATCTATAAACATAAGAAACAGCTTTCCGGCCGTGGCGACCTCCCCACGACAATATGCCTCTCACTAAGGATCTCCTCCATCCCTCTCTGGAAGAGGAGAAGAAGAAACACAAGAAGAAGCGCCTGGTGCAGAGCCCCAATTCCTACTTCATGAATGTCAAATGCCCAGGATGCTATAAAATCACCACCGTCTTTAGCCACACACAAACGGTAGTTTTGTGTGTTGGTTGCTCCACTGTTCTCTGTCAGCCAACAGAAGGAAAAGCAAGGCTTACAGAAAGATGCTCCTTCAGAAGGAAGCAGCACTAAAAGCACCTCAAATAAGATGAGTGGGAAACCATCCCAATAAACACATTTTGGATACAAAAAAAAAAAAAAAAAGAGAGAGAGAGAGAAAGAAACATATTAAGGCACTCCTAGTTTCAGGGCACTATGTACATAATATACAGAGAAGAATTCTAACCTTGGAAATTAGTGTTTGTGGCAAACATCTTTGGAAATATAATCTACCACCTATAGTTACTACTACAAATTTTCTATTTATATATATCTCTCTCAATACATATTTGTAGATTGAATACTTCTCTATGAATTGTGCCCACTTGTGTACTTTAAAGATAGAAATGATCCCTAGCTGGTTTGGCTCATTGAATAGAGCATTGGCTTACAGACTGAAGGGTCCCTGGGTTTGATTCTGGTCAAGGGCACATGTCGAGTTTGCAGGCTTGAATCCCAATAGGAGGTGTGCAGGAGACAGCCAATCAATAATTCCCTCTCACCATCGATGTCTCTATCTCTATCTCCCTCTCCCTTCCTCTCTGAAATCAATAAAATATATTTTAAAAAATAAAATAAAAATAGAGATGACAATATAAGCTTCCCTCCTGCTATGGACTGAATATTTATGTGTCACCCCCTCCTCCAATTTATATATTAAAACCTAATTCCCAATGTGATGGTATGAAGATGTGTGGCCTTTGGGAGGTGATTAGGTCATGAAGGTGAATCTCTCTTGAGGGCAAAGAAAAGAGAGTTCCATTGCCTCTTCCACCATGGGAGGACATAGCGAGAAGCTAGCCTTCTATGAACTAGACACCAAATCTGCCAATGTCTTGATCTTAGACTTACAACTTCCAGAATTGTGAGGAATAAATTTCTGGTGTTTATAAGCTACTCAGTCTGTTATAGCACCCCAAACATATAAGACTCTCCATTACCCAGTATATCCACTCAATCGCTAGATCTTTCCAGTTCTCCTTTCTAAATATCATTCATGTTCTTTCCTCAATTGCCATCTCCCTTTCACTCCTTTAGTTCAGAAAATTTCATCATATTTTCTTAGCATTTCCTTACTTTCTTGGTCTTGCTGCCTTCTTCTCACACTCTATTCTCCATACTGCCAACAAAATGATTTTTCTAATATGCAAATCCTACCCTGTTTTCATGCTACTTAGAATTGTTTGATGGTTCTTAAGTTTTTATATGGATTTGTGATGGATCTCTGCCTAGATGTCTGCCTTCAGCACCCCCCCCCCTCCATTTTCTCCTGATGCCCTTTATTCCCCAGGAATATTGAATAATGTATAATTTATTGAATGTGCTAATCAGATCTCGGTGCTTTCATACATTCTATTCCTATTGCCTGGAACATTGGTTTGTCCACTGATGGTGGGGAACACTTATTCTTTACTACTGAGTTTCCTTTCCATGTGAAGGGACACACCTGCTTTGGGGAGAAATGACTTACCTAGTTGGTGAGTTTGGGAAAAATAAGGTAAACTGACCCAAGTCAAATTGGCCATTCTTTAGTGGTCAGGCTCTTTTATTTTGTTTGGTTACTTCTACCCAAGAAAAGTAGAAGCGTGAAATAAACATCTGTACCCACACAAGTAAGCTATTAGTTGGTCTGTTATAATAAAAACAAGGCTTAGACCAAAGCCTAATAAATGTATATTTATTAGCAACTAGGGAAAAAAACCAGCCATGTAACATGGTCTTGTAAACTTGTGGAAGTCTCACTCTCTGCCTTTTACATCCCAATAAGCACCTTACAGGAAAGTTTCACTCCAAAATAGATACAACAAAATTCTGATGATGAGACCAGCCAATCCAACAGTTAAATCTCTAAGTTAGTTTTCCATGACATCATGGACACAGAACCAATGGAGCTTTGCACCTAGGATACTGCTCTAAAGATATTAGACTGCTCAACAGGCCAGATTCTTATACCTCATTGTTAGAGAGCCAGTTTTGGCCTGATCCTCACAGTCCAGGCCAAGGGACCCCATTGGTGCATGAATCCATGCACTGGGCCTCTGGTATGCATATAAAATCTTTGGTTAATCTCTTCCTGCCCTCCCACTCCTCACTTCCTTCTGAAATTCATCAGTTTGTTCCATGTTTCCATGCCTGTGCCATTGAGCATCTACCCCCTGGTGGCCAGTGCGCATCATAGCTACTGGTCGAACAGTTGGATGGCCACTTAGGCTTTTATATATATAGATATGTATATAAATGCCAGTCATTTCACCAATGAAAAATTATTTCTAAAGTTATTTATTAACAAATCCTCTGGATATCCTATCTAATAAAGAATAATATGCAAATTGACCATCACTCCAACACACAAGATGGCTGCCCACATGTGGACACAAGATATGGCTGCCACAAGATGGTCAGCAGTTGGGAGGAACCAGGCCTGCAGAGGAAGGCAGTTAGGGGCAAACAGGCTGGCAGGGGAGCAGTTAGGCATCAATCAGGCTGGAAGGGGAGTGGTTGGGGGGGACTGGGCTGGCAAGCAGAAGCAGTAGGGGCAATCAGGAAGGCAGGCAGGTGAGCAGTTGGGAGCCAGCAGTCCTGGATTGTGAGAAGGATCCCATATTGGAGAGGGTGCAGGCTGGACTACAGGACACACACCCCTGTGCCCGAATTTCATGCACTAGGCCTCTAGTAGGTTTATATAACAGTATTTGTAGTGCTTAAACCTCTCTGGAATGTGGATTCTTGATTAGGTATTTCAAATGCTAACTAACCATCTCTAAGGATTAAAGTTCACTTTACACATTAACATTATGTAATTTATGCCATACAAACATACATAGACACACATGGTCCAAATCCTCCTTTTTGGGTTCAAGCTGCTCACTATTCTCTCTCAATGTTCCAGAGGCAGGCTTTGTTCCTCTGTGGTCAAGGTCTGACTTGGTCTGAGGATGCTGGGTGGGTGGGTGAGTTTAATTTTGGGGTTCAACATTGGGAAGCCCACTTGGTGGCAGATATAAACTAATATCAGCTGTGTCAGGGATAAAGGTAATGGATTCTAACTGCAAGTTTCTTTGTCTTATTTTATAAGTAATACAGATCCCAAGCAGGGAGTTATCTATTGGGCCCTTTCAAACACCCCAACTCTAAACTGACATGCTCCTGGCCCCTCTTTGAAGTCTTCCATGAACATTCCTGGTAGACTTCTAAACTCTTGCCTGTTGACCTTCTCCCCACTTCCACCCAACTTGACAGCAGGCCCTGCCTCTACATCTCTGTATTTCCAGCATTTAATACACAATCTGGTACATGGAAGGTGCTCAGTAAGTGTTTGATGAATGAGTCATTGTTAGCAGGACATGCTCTTTGAGGGGCTTTTTAAGAGTGTATGACTGTGACCTTATTAACAACCTGCTTGAAATAACTGAGATAACCAACTTCAGATGAGTCAGGCAAACACAAGGAATTTCCTAGAAACAATGTTTCTTACAACTTTAAGTTTTGTTGATTTAATATGTGTTGCTATATTTATCTTTTCCATTATTTATTGAGTAGCAACTATGCTCTGGCCATTTCATACACATACACATGGTTATTTCATTTAATGCTATTTTATCCAGAGGTTAATCTAATAAAATTAGCAATTACTATGTTTTGAGACTCATCTTATGGTCCAGTAGGCATACTAATAAAAAATAAAAAAGGAAAATATTCTATGATTCCATGGTAGGCACTGAATAAATATTTGCTGGATAAATTAATGATTATAGATTATGGCAATTAAATCTCATTTTTAAATATTATCATATGTAGGTAGCTTATAATACACTTGTTAGAGCAACCTCTAAAATCATTGGGTCACATTTTTGTCCTACCTGTGAATTTCATTTATTTCTGTCATTCATTGTTTGAAGCCAGAGCATAAGATAGCCATTTTTAAGATACTAAGTTTGAGATACCAGAAGTTTCAAAGTTTATGTTACAAATCCAAAAGAATCAACACCAGTTAGTGTGTGACCTTAAATACAGCTTTCTACTTTTCTGCATCTTGGTCTAATTTTTTCATCTGTAAAATGTAAATGGCATGTGATCTCAACCATTTATTCACCTATACCTAGGTGAGCTAAGATGAGACAAGTGAGGCACTCATGTCAGAGCAAAATGTAAGGTGGAGGTGGGGAGGCACAAAAAAAACCTTAATAATTAAGGAAGATAATATTTTAGTGCAATATTTTTTAAAAATCATAATTAATACAAACAATCCATGATGACCAAAATATTAACATTTTAAAGATAGGATCAATCTTGCTTATTTTTTCTTTTGCCTCAGGCTCCAATATGGATCCTGATTTTTTTAAAAATTACATTAAAATATTATTCATCTTCATTGCTGAGGTTTTTTTTCCCATCTTAAATTTTGCACTGGAGTGAGTGCCTCACTCTTCTAACCTGAGTCCTTGTTCTGTTGCATACATTTAATGAGTGTCTGCCATTTAAGACACAATAGTCATTGCTTTCAAGTAGCTCATAGCTTCATTTGAAAAAAAAAAAAAGGAGAGGAAGCATCATTAATTAAAGCAGTGTGAAAGTGCAGTGTGGGGGCAGAGGTAGGTAATGAGAGCAATGATATCAAATGAGACTCTGTATAAAAAAACCCACAGCATTTCACCTCAAGGTGGTAGCCAGAGTATAAGCTTTGTCTCTGAAGGGGTTCAGAACAAGCCTCACAGAAGATGGGCAACTTCAGCATGTAGGTTATTTTGAGCTGAAGGCAATCGAGACCTTGCAGATTGAAGAGAAACTTTTACCTCTCCCTTAAAAAATTTAAATTGGGGACCTTGCCCACAATAAGGGTTATCACCAGAAATAACTTTCATGACCAATCCATTGGGCAAGAAAAACTTCTAATTACTGAATATCTGCTCTTCTTATAGTCCTGCAAATAAAATAACTCATCTCTTCTTTGAAGCCCCAGTTGCCTCACCTTATTCCCTGACCCAGGTCGCTATATATATATATATATATATATATATATATATATATATATATATAATTTTACCTTTCTGTCTCTAACCTCTCATATATGTGGGGGTCCCTGAGTCTTTCCTATATGTGAGGTT